TTTCAGTTATTTGTTAATTTATATCAGTGTGCATCCATGTACTCCTCTGTGACTCAATGAATTGTAATCCATGACTGTCATTACTTATTTTGATGTTCGAGTTGTCCCATATCTGACCAGGGGTAGCCCCTTCAGGATGGCCTCTGTGTCTTTTTGACCTAGCCCCATCATTCTCTGAGCACTTCCTTACTTTCTGGTACAGAAAGCTGTTCCACGCTCATCTTGTGTTTTTCCCTGCCCAGCCCTGGAGACAGCCAATTGTTTAAGGAGTGTTTCCTTTGAGAGTTTTAAGTGGAGAGTGCTATTTAGAAATCAAGATCTGAGCATCAGATGTGCTCGTTGCTGCATGGCATCACTTGCACGAGGTTCTTTCTTTGTATACAGTCGTACTATTTAATTCTAGCTCCTAATCTGAACAGTATTCCAGTTACTATACGATATGGCTTTATGCAGGGAAATGTGTGGCTTTTGTCTTGCATTTTTTTCAGTATTGATGTTAGATCTAGGAAATATATATACATTAGTGTACGTGTATACACACACATATACACATTTGTGTGTATGCATATAATGTGTGCATATATGTATATGTACACACACACGTACACTGTGAATTCCACTGTAACATCACAGGGTTCCTTCTGGCTTTCCCCCTTTGTATATTTGTACCACCTTCTCTGACAGTAAGAAAACTGGCTCCAGGTGTCCCCGGTATATTTACCCATTTGCTTAACTCACCTTATGTATCCAGTCTCCTGATTCCACCAGGCTGTCTCTCCACAACCTCCTTGCGCAGGCCCAGCCCTCACAGGGCCCCCCAAGCCTCTTCGAGACCCATCTATGTAGCCTCCATCCTCTGTCCCATGTCCTTCCCACCCTGCTTGGAAGAAAGGAAAGAAGGGAGGGAGGGAAGTTGGACAGAACTCTTATTTGCAGCCTCCTCTAAGCTTTCTCCCATCTACAACTCTTCCCCAGCTCTCGAGGTCACGTCACTACCATCCAGCTGCTCGACCAGATGGAGCTCATCCTGAGTCTTCCCTCGTTCTGCACCACATCCTCTGAAATGTAACGCAAGTCAGCCTACTTCTCACCATCTCCTGTTCTCCCACTGCCATCCCTCACCTGGGCTGCTGCCGAATTCTCCCAAGCGCTTTATCTGCTTCAGCTCTTATCCTTCTGAAAGTGTTCAGGTTTGGGTTTAGCTTCAAGCATTAGACGTTTAAAATCACTAAGGCTTCCAAAAGTGGATTAAATGTGCCAATAAGAAGGAAGTTTAGTATCCTTGTCATGCCAGAAATAAATTGCTTTTTCAGTGGGATATGCTCTCCAGTAAGGTTCTTTTTCTCATGTCTAAATATCAAACTTTTTGACTGTCTTCTCTTTCCAAGATCATGTTTCTTTCTCTTTAGTTTCATGCAGTTGGGATAAGAACCTAAAAAATAATGAATCAAGACAACAATATATTTCCCAAAAATGTAACTGAAAAAATCTGTGCATAGAGCAAAATTAATTATGTGTATTGGGTTTTAAAAAAACACATATCAAATATGGCAGAATGCAACTGTTGTTTCTTATGTTTGGGCCTTCTTATTAATATTTATTTGTGCCACTAATTTCTTGTTTATCCAATTAAAGTTGTACAATGGCATGAAGGGAAGGAAGAAAGGATCTATTGTCCAAAG